CTCCTAAATTTATAGTATGTTCTCCTATTTCCAACCTCATGACAGGTAGTGACAAAGGTCCTGAGAATTCAGAGATATGTAGTACTGTGCCTCAGCAGAGAAAGGCTTCCCAAACAACTGGTGAACTCCTGTGTATTATACAGATCAGTGCAAAATAATTTCTGATCATACTTAATTATTTAGGTGGCACGCCTGCTCACACACTAGGTTTGTGAGAACAGCCATAGAGTTTTGAAGTCTGAGAAAAATGAAGCAAAGATGAAAATGTTATCAAGGACAGGGTAAACATTTGTGAAGGACAAATTCCAGAAAGGGCTACCTGTTAAATTCTCATCGAAAAATGCCAAAATTTACGCATTTGCATGGACATATACATGTGATATCCTTCTGAATGGAAAGGAATAGAGGTCACCTCTGAACTAAGAGCTGATTTAGTAGCTTGGTTGTTAATAGACAGTTTAAATATGAAAATTCTCTACAATGGAGTTATCTAAGTGGTGTAAATGAGAAGCCCTAAATAGAAATTTAGCAGTGATATCGATAGTTAGGCATGAAGGGTTTTCTGCTTAGGATGGATCAGAGGAGTGTGGAAACGATGTGGAAGTGACTGACAGGATGCAGGCAGCAAATAGCAGGACATACAACAGAGAGCATCTTCACTGAAAGTCAGGTAGTTTTTAGAGTAAGTATGAAGTTAAGTTGGGTTCTGATTGCTTCATTGAGGTGATCAACACCAGCTCTGGCAACAAACAATCAGTATTCCACATCCCTGTCAACCCATAATTTTTGTGTTCCATACTTGAGATCTAATTTGATTATCTCTAATTATGCCCCAGTGTCATGAAGCTGAAATTTTCAATTATTTTGTACCAAGGATCAAACGCATGACCTATGCTTTCCAGGCAGGTGTTCATGCCACTGAGCTAAATACACAACTATGAAAATGTTTTCTGTGTTTTATGGACGATATCCACATTGTTTCTGAGAAAGTGTTGAATATTGTTGGAATTTTTCAGTATTGTATGGCTATAATTTTTTTAAAAACAAACCAAAGGTGTCTTATGCAGTCTCTTTTTAAGTTTCATTTTATCTGTTCGGTGTCTCAATCAGGGTTTGTCTATTTTAGACAGCTCTGTAACTTAGGATAGCCCCAAATTCAAGGAAGAAATCCTTCACCAGCCTCCCAAGATTTATTTCTTATATTTGAATTGAAGGTGATCACTTGGTGACAGTGAGGTATAATTTATAGCTTGGGCCTGGTTTCATTTTATATACATATTTTTAAAATACAGCTGTTTTCCACTAACACTTGAGTTATTATTTATATACCATATTTGATGTTATTTATGTTTTGTTCTATGAAACCAAATTCATGTTTCAAAATGCTGCTTAAGTATATTAAGAACAAAGTATTCATGGTCTAAATGAGATTCGAACAGACATCATCTGTAGTCTATCAAAATGATTGCTGAGATTTTTTATTTAATTTGAAATTGGTAAAATAGAACAAAAACAGGCAGCAGAAGGCCAACTAAGATCACACAGTGAAATTGGTACACAACTTCACAACAGGTTACTGGGATAACAGTAATAGGAATCACAGTATATTTTGTTATCTTTGTCATACTTGTTCTTTAATCACATATATCAAAATGAGATGAAATACAGAACATTATAGAACTTATGAAAACAGAATATTCAATTGAGCAGTACCATTAATCAGAATGGAGTGAAACAATAATAAAAACATTTTCCTTCAAAGAGATAGTAGAATGAAGCCCCCTTATTTGCTATGGTCTAATTCCCAGGAGATGCTCAGATTTCTGGTTCCCATTTGCTAATGTGGGGTGACAGGAGAAGAGGGGTAGGGAAGTGGGATGTTTGATTCCAGGTGGTGCATCAGTAGTTTCACTATTGCATAGTAGGGAGACAGGCTGGTTGTTTGGTTTCACAGAGCCCTAAGTTCCCACATAGAACAGACCTTAGGAGCTGCTGCTGGTTATCCCCCTGGAAGGGCTGCAGTTTTCCAGATTGCCACTGCTGACTGGGGAGGGGAGGTGCTTGCTTGGCTTCCCAGGCAATTGATGAGACATTTATCTGCCTCTGTGCTTTGTGGTTGCTGGTCCTGCAGGCTTCTCACTGTGAGCTCTGCTTTAGAGAAACAGCACAGGGAATCTTGCCATGACTCAGCACAAGAATCAGTGCTCCAATTTGGCTGTTATATTAGCAGTGAGTTGCAATCTAGCATCAAATTTGCTGTCTTCAAAAATGTGTATAGACACAATATTAATGACCAAGACATGGATTTAAATTTGAACAAATCAGTCTTCATTCAGCTGTTTTGTTTGGCTTTATTTGTTGAGTTTAGTTTTGTTTTATTGAGACAAGCTTTCTGTATGTATATCAGCTGGATTTGAACACCGTATTGAGCCTAGAATTGCCCTGACCTCACTGAGGCCTTCCTTTCTCCCCTTTTGAGTGCTGGGATTATAGATATGCACCACCGCACTTTGCTTTTGATTCAGATTTGTAGGAAAGAATTTAAGATATCCCAAACCTGGGGTCTCAACCTTCCTTTGAGAAATATATATATGATCCTTTAGGAGGTGGTGACATTTGAGGATGTCGTTGTGAACTTCAGCAGTGAGGAGTGGAGTTTGCTGAGTCCATCCCAAAAGAACCTCTACAGAGATGTGATGGTCGAAACCTTTAGAAACATGGCTGCAATAGGTAAGGAAGAAATGTTTTTGGCACTCATGCTGTCAGAATATTGTTTGTTGCTCATTAGTGCTGTTTTGTTAAAAAGAATATGAAAATATTTTTAAAAATAGCTCAGACCTGGACACATTATGTCATAAATCTAAACAAAATCTCTTAATTTGTATGCATTACTCAACTGAGTCCTGGTATTTCTATGTCTACAATTCAGGAGGACTTGGGGATATCCAGGAAGCTGAAAAAGAATGCAAAGTTTACTGGAGATACTTAAGGTAATTCACACTCACAAGGAGAGGAATGTTCCTGAGTAATTAGTGAGTCAGCAGAAAAATGACAACCAAAGAAATGAGGCACCATTCAATTTAATGTCAGTAATATTCTCCAAAGATGTATAAGCTAGTGTATATATGAGGGAATTAAATAATGAAAATGTATGACATTGCATATAGATGATTACGAAAGGCATACACTTTGAGTTATGACATTCTGCCTTCAGCTTTTCTACCCATATATACATGTGAATACAACACTTTCATTATCTAACAATTGCTAAGATTGCAATAGAATGTGAAATAAAACTGAGTGCTCATGTTTCCAAGCCATGCTCTAGACAATCGGCGATTCTGACTAATATTCTTAGTAGGCTGGTGGAATGTTAGTGCACTCATTTTGAATATCAGTATGCAGTTGTCTCTAGAAATTGATCCCCTCATACTTGTCCTGGATATTTTTAAAATCTCAAAATCTGCATAAAATACTGATACATGCTTACTCATATCCAAAGCAGATCAAGTTATAACAGATAAGGCCTTGAAGCTTATATATTTTCACTGTATTTGTGGAGAAGGAAAATGTTAATAGACTCTCTGTGATTGTGCATTCTTGTATACTCAGCACACTAGGAATCAGATTTTGCAGAATGGCAATTTCAAATTCATACTTCACAGCTTAATGATCTATGAAAATCTCTTAAAATAGATTTTTAAAATGATATAGATTTATGCTAATACCTGTTGTTCATTCCCAGCCCAGAATGGAAAAAATGTGTTATATAATGTCAAAAAATAAATAATATAATTTCCTTTGCTATAAGAATTAGATGGGTCTTTCACCCATCAATTCAGTGAAATAGCTCAGCTATAAAAACTAAAAGGTCACTGGCTTTCTTTTAGATGAGAAACCAAAATACAAAATGTGGAAAGAAATGAAACAGAGTTGTTAGAGAAAAGTAAGACTGACCATATGGAAAAGGGAACTACAGGTTAAGGACAGAAGGAAGATTGTGATGGGGAAACATATGAGAATAATTTGCATGTGATACACATATGTACCCATGCCCAAAGTGAAGCTAAAGATTATGCATTTCAAAGTACCAACTTTTAAGATTTCCAAATGTGTACCAGTCTTTTGGGAATGGTTGTTTTCAACATATCTTATAAGGCCTTTCTGTTGCTTCATGGTCACAATTTCTTAGCAGGCATTAAAAACAGAACTTGATATTAATGCAGTTATTCAATGGAGACCAATTTCACTGTCAATTTTTCTTTTTTTAAATTTAATATAAGTAAAGATTAAATAAGATAAAATAAGTATAAATAATACTGCTTTCAAAGTGAAAAAATCAGTAAGAAATTGCAAGATGATGATTACAAATGCTGATCATAGAAATAGTTATGAAATAAAAAAGTGAAACATATGAAGTGGGGATTCAAATAGTGAGACTGCAAACAGTTTTGTTCAACTCTCCAAGAAAAGCTTAGTAATATGGTTATAAATCCTATATGTGATTTTTTCTTTCCAGAAATGACAAGCTAGGGAAATCTTATGGACATACATCTTGGAAGCAGTGTAAAGAAGTATTTCTTTGTACTGCAGAAGGTAATGTGAATGTGAAAGAAACAGAAACACACCACGATGTTCAGATCCATGAAAAATATTGCAGTCGAGGGAAACCCTATGTATGCAAACAATGTGGGAAAGTTTTTAAAACACGTGCATATTGTAAGGTTCATGTAAGAATTCACACTGGAGAGAAACCCTCTGTGTGTAAGCAATGTGGAAAAGGTTTCATGCAACCTGGAAATTGTAAGGAACATGAAAGAATTCACACTGGAGAGAAACCATATATGTGTCAGCAATGTGTAAAAGGATTCACCAAATCAAAACATTGTAAGCAACATGAAAGAATTCACACTAGAGAGAAACCCTATGTATGTAATCAATGTGGGAAAGCTTTTACCAGACATGAATGTTTTAAACAACATGAAAGAATTCACAGTGGAGATAAACCATATGTATGTAAACAATGTGGGAAAGCTTTTAACACACGTACAAATTGTAAGTTTCATGAAAGAATTCACACTGGAGAGAAACCATATGTATGTAAGCAATGTGGGAAAGCTTTTAAAACACAGGGAGATTGTAAGAATCATGAAATTATTCACACTGGAGAGAAACCGTATGTATGTAAGCAATGTGGGAAAGCTTTTACCAGACCTGGACGTTGTAAGGCACATGAAAGAATTCACACTGGAGAGAAACCATATGTATGTAAGCAATGTGGGAAAGCTTTTAACACACGTGTAAATTGTAATGTTCATGAAAGAATTCACACTGAAGAGAAACCATATGTATGTAAGCAATGTGGGAAAGCTTTTAACACAAGGCGATACTGTAAGAAACATGAAAAAATTCACACTGGAGCGAAACCCTATGTATGTAAGCAATGTGGGAAAGCTTTTAACACACGTACAAATTGTAAGGTTCATGAAAGAATTCACACTACAGAGAAATCATATGTGTGTAAGCAATGTGGGAAAGCTTTTAAAACACAGGGAGATTGTAAGAATCATGAAAGAATTCACACTGGAGAGAAACCGTATGTATGTAAGGAATGTGGGAAAGCTTTTACCAGACCTGGACATTGTAAGGAACATGAAAGAATTCACACTGGAGAGAAACCATATGTATGTAAGCAATGTGGGAAAGCTTTTAACACACGTGTAAATTGTAATGTTCATGAAATAATTCACACTGAAGAGAAACCATATGTATGTAAGCAATGTGGGAAAGCTTTTAACACAAGGGGATACTGTAAGAAACATGAAAGAATTCACACTGGAGAGAAACCCTATGTATGTAAGCAATGTGGGAAAGCTTTTAACACACGTACAAACTGTAAGGTTCATGAAAGAATTCACACTGGAGAGAAACCGTATGTATGTAAGCAATGTGGGAAAGCTTTTACCAGACCTGGACGTTGTAAGGAACATGAAAGAATTCACACTGGAGAGAAACCATATGTATGTAAGCAATGTGGGAAAGCTTTTAACACACGTGTAAATTGTAAGATTCATGAAATAATTCACACTGAAGAGAAACCATATGTATGTAAGCAATGTGGGAAAGCTTTTAACACAAGGGGATACTGTAAGAAACATGAAAGAATTCACACTGGAGAGAAACCATATGTATGTAAGCAATGTGGGAAAGCTTTTAACACAAGGGGATCCTGTAAGAAACATGAAAGAATTCACACTGGAGAGAAACCCTATGTATGTAAGCCATGTGGGAAAGCTTTTAACACACGTACAAATTGTAAGGTTCATGAAAGAATTCACACTGGAGAGAAACCATATGTGTGTAAGCAATGTGGGAAAGCTTTTAAAACACAGGGAGATTGTAAGAAACATGAAAGAATTCACACTGGAGAGAAACCATATGTATGTAAGCAATGTGGGAAAGGTTTTAACAATTCTGGACGTTGTAAGCAACATGAAAGTATTCACACTGGAGAGAAACCATATGTATGTAAGCAATGTGGGAAAGTTTTTACTCAACATGGACATTGTAAGCAACATGAAAGTTCACACTCAAGATAAAACCAGTGTATATAAGAATCATGAGAGTGGTTTGAGCACATGTATATATTGCTTAATGTATGAAAATCTTCACACTGGGCAGAAAACTTATATATGTAAGGAATGTGGGGAATGTTTCAGCAGAAATGCTCATTGTCCAATACATTATAAAATTTAGACTGTTGAGAAACTCTGTGTATGTGAAGAATGTGGGAAAGCTTTCACCAAACATGGATATTGTAAAATACATCCATGACTTCACACTGATGAGAAACCCTATGTATATAACAGTGTGGCAAAGCTTTTACCACATACAGTCATTGCAAAACACATGAAAGAATTCACACTGGGAAAAACCACTGGCTATGTAAGCAAGTGGAGACACTTTCAGCAGCCAGATTGTAAGTGAAATACATGAAAAAACTCACACGAGATAAATCCTATGTGTTATGGGAATACTCTCCGCATACTTGATCATTGTTACATATCTGAAAGAGCTCACTAGGCAGAGATGATATGTGGATTAACAATGTGAGAAATATAGCAATGCATGTTTCTTGTTAAATACATAGAAAAAGCATCACTGTTCAGACAGTTTAGATCTAAGTTTACTTTAAAAATTCCATGGAGACCTGAAGAAATAATCGATACAGAAGTTAGATGTCAATATTTCTTCACAAATATTCCAGAAATGACAAATCTGTGGTGGGGCTCTCCTTAGGTGCACATGTTGTATGGTTTTCAGTTAATCACTTGTACCTCTCTAGATTTATTAATCTAGATGTTTTTGTGCTTCAACATGGCATCTTGTAATTAAACATGCTAAACTGAAATGGGCTTTTCACTTTCAAGTATGGATAGTGCCTCCATACTTAATATTTTGTCTTTAAAACTTAAATTTTGTATTTTCTGAATTGTAATGTTGTTTATTTAAAGAGAAAAAAAGTGTAGAAATAATACAGAATATCAGAAAAATAAACCATAAGAAATCACTAGATGATTAGTATTATATTGTCATCTTAGAAGTAGTTGTTCAAGTTACAAATTTAAAGCATACAAAGTGATATTCAAATAATGACACTGTCACGGTTCACCTCAATGATCCACCAAAAAGTTATTAATATGCCTATCTGTCCTACACACTTTTTTTTCTTAAAGAGGGTAAGATTAAACATAGCAAAACAGAGCAAAACAGTTCATAAGGAAACAAGTTAAGGAAACACAGATTTCAAAGCAAGTCCACTGGAAATGTTCACTGTCTATTTTACTGTCTCTAGTTTTTTTCCAAATAGTTGTTCCCATCCTCACACACATTGAATATATACTGAATATTATAGAACTAATCAAATAATTACAGGATGATGCAAGCTTTTTCGATCTTCAAGACTGATTTTGGGGAAGTCGATAATGACTACCATAATGTGTCTTATGGTCTTTATAGTAGCTGTCTTTATCTTTATGTATGCTGAAATGGAACATAAGAGACTAGACTACTATCACTCTGAACAGTGAATAATAGTATCCTGAGAAGGAGAAAGGTGAGGAATTGCCTAAAAAAAGAAGGCAGAGGACATAGTTAAAAGTGTATCAGGATTTAAAAGCTACAGTAGTCTTGTTGCTCTGTATAGTTTGGTTGTATTTTGTTCTGGGCTATCTACTCATATTAGATTTGAGGGCACGGAGAGATAACCCAAAAATAGCTGGTTATACCATGGTAATTATCCTTAATTTCCTATTAACTAAAACTGAATCCCTATATTACTTACATTGTCTTCTATGACTGATCTTTGAAGCTGGATTGTTTCAATGTTATTTGGCCTTGACTGATTTTATTCACATTTGGTATGCTTGCTGATATCAAGTTCAAGAGCACAGGCAACTACTCTGAAGATGACAATGTGTAAAAGATATCCATTGGTGGGCTGGGGATTTAGCTCAGTGGCTTAAGGCACCTGCCTGGCAAGTGTGAGGCCATGATTTTGATCTCCAGAGCCAAAAAAATAAATAAATAAAAGATATCCATTCCAGGTTTGATTATTTTTTAATTAAAGAGAAGAAAGGAAATAAAAAACAAAGCAATAAAAGGGTACAATTAATACAGAATTTCAAGAAAAAATACAGTAAGAAATCACTAGTTAATAGGTTACATATTGTCATTGCTAGGGTTATTTCCAAAAGATGAAAATATTAACAAAAGATGAGAAATATAAAATAAAAAGTGGCCTTTATTCTGAGAACACAGAGAGAGATGCCCAGCACCCCCACCGCTGGCGTCTGGCGATCTCTCAGGCGCAAACGTGACGTGGGGGCCTGTAAATAGGCTTGGTTTGGGGTGGAAACTAAGGCGGGCATTAGGGATACACAGGAAGCCCATTGGTCCTAGGTTTGGCGCCATATGTAAATTTCCAGGGGCAGGAAGATGGCGTCACAGGTAACTTCCTAGGGGAAGGGGAGATGGGGCTTCCTGCTTCCGGTTGTGGCTTTCCTGGCTACAGTGTCCTATCTGGGCCAAAACCCTTTCAGTCATCTTAGAAACAGTTGTCCAAATTATAAAATTCAGGCATATAAAGTGGACATTCATACAGTGAGATTGCAGAAAGTTCTGTTCAGTGATCCAACAAAAGCTCAGTAATATGATTTTCCATCCTACACACTCAAGCATGCAGTTGTATCCCTTAGACCACCTTCCTTTCCTCTCCTTTTTACAATAAGTGTTACACGTTTTGAGTTTTTTTACTCCCACAGTTCTTATTACATTTTTTGAAGAGAATACATCCTAACATGACTAAATAAAACAGAGACAGTTAGAACAGAAGGATGAGCATAATACATGATGCAAAAATAGAATATCAGATGATCAAAAATGGTTACCATTGTGCCTCTTGCTATTTTTAAAAAGAGTTACTATATCATCAGGTATAATAAAATTGATCAAAACAGTACAGAACAAGACCAATAAAACCTACACTGGAAACCTGGCAAGACTTCAAAAAAGATAATAGTCAAACTATAATGGGCATCATAATAAATCTTATTGTCTTCAAAGTGGTTGTCTATACCCTCAAACTTGATACTATCAAACAAAATACAATATAGTAAAATCAAACACAACAAGATGTGGAGAGCAATACTGGGGACAAATCAGGTTAATAGGAAAACAAATAGTTACTATAATATATCCCGCTATTTTTAAATTTAGTTTTCCCTTAATTGAAAAAAATAAAAAAGTTTAATTTAAAAAAAGGGTGGAGATTGAGATAAAAGAGGATATTGTAATAGAACAACACTTGTGTTTCACTCCCAGATAATCTAACATAATAGTAGTCACCATAGTGCGTCATTCCTTGAATTATTTAAGTATAACTTCATATATGATAGCATCAAGCATATCAAGACAGTGTAAAGCCATTCAACAGAATGAAAGAATTACAGGGTATTTAGAACCAGTTAACAGAAAACGAACAATGGTTTCTATATTATCTCCTTGCGTATAAAAATTTTTCTTTATACTATCACATATAGTAACATATAGTAAGATACAACATGTTAAAACCAGTGGAAACATATAGTTTGTTAGAGAGGGACCATTCTTGCACCACTGAGATTGAGCCCAGTGTTGATCACGTTGGTTAACTTTGAATATGCTGGTGAGTTAACGTTGTAAACATTTAGCTGAACACTTTTGTTTATGTTTGGTAGGAATATTAGCCAACAGAGTGTTTTCATTTATATTATTTTTAACACATTATTGTCTGGCTTCATTCTCAGGATAACTTTAACGTTGTCACTTAAAAGAAGTTGGTGGTGGGTTTTCCTTCAACTTGATCAAAGAATTGAAAAACAATCAGTATATATTCTTTATTATATACTGGATAAAATTCACCAGTGCACTTTTTGTATCCCAGCTTTGTTGTTGTTAGTAAGAAGCTGTGATTTTTACCCATTGCCTGTGCTCCTTATTGCTCTGTTCATCAGACTATTTCCTTCTGATGCATGTGGTTTGGGGACATCACATATCCATTAAGGGTCACATCTCATTTTACTTATGGATGCTACAATTCATTTTGTATCTTCAAACTATCTCTATAATATATAATTTTGTGAGTAACTCCTTTCAGTTACTCAGATTTAATGCACATTCTTGAATGGTGTGGTTACTGCTGGAGGAAACTGGGCCTGGTGAGGGCCTGGTCTCTAATTTAAAGCTTCATACCCTGACCTGCCTGCAGTGTACCGATCTCCTGACCTGCTCCCTGTAAACACCTGTCCTGCTCCATAACTATGGTGAGTCCACATGTGGCAGTTCAGATCTGCACCTGGGTCGAAATCGTTCAGTCAAGTTGGGCTCTGTAACAGACTGACCTCATACAGAGCTCCCCTGAGTGAGAGATGGGACCTCAGGCATGTAGGGAGGAGCTCTGGAACCATTCCAGCTCTATCCTGTGCAGCGTACAATGTGTGATGCTTTCCTGACAACTTACTGATGGATGAGGAGGACTGAACCAGGCCTTTTTTAGCCATGGTGTCCTACACCTCTGCCTGGACCATCTCTCTGACTTTAGATCTCCACATAGATCTGAGCAGACTCAGTCTTCCTCTACCAGGCTCTAACTCTATGCTGAGGTTTCAGGTGAAAAATCTGAGACCCTCAAATTAATCTTATATACATTTAACCTGGAAATTCCACTTCTAAGAGTCATTATAAAAATGAGATTGACAGACACCGTATTCTCTTCTTAATCAGCTAAGATGTGGACTGTTAGAAACCATGAATGTTCCACAGCACATCTGCTGAATTAATTATAAATTACAACCACTGAAAATGCTGAAAGAAGGCCATGTCCTAGGCCATGTCCCTGATATTTCCTGAGATTGAAGAGAGCTTGTGTCCTGGCTCTCCACCCAGTAGTGAAGAGACTGGCCTGCACAGCAGGTGAGGATAGGAGAGAGGAGCTGGTCAATAGCAGACT